CCTGCAGGTATCCGTCTGCCAAATCGCGCCTGGGCCAGGCCGTGCACAAACAGCAGCCCGTAGGCAGACGGACCCTCAGCGGGGCGCCGATCCGGGCTCCCAGGAAGGAGAGGGCGGCAGGTCCCATCCTGCACCTCTGGGTGCCTTCATCTCCCGGGTCCAGGAGAAGCAGCTTTAACGCCGGCGGCTCCATGGCGGGCTTGCGCAGCGTTCCCTCCGCGAGAGGGGGCAACAACTCCCCTCCTGTGCGCAGCCCCGTCCAGCTCCTCACTCACCCGGCTCGCCCTCCCGCGGGCTCGGGCTCCCGCTCCGGCTACGTCCGCTCCCCCAGGGCCAGGGCCAGGCCCACCGGCTCCCGCGCAACAGCCGCGCTCCAGCCCGGCGCTCCCGCGCATGCGCCGCAGCGGAGCACGCGCACCAGAAGAAGGCGGGACACGGCTCCGTCTCCGCTGAGGGTGCTGTTCTGTGAAGGGCTGTCGGAGCGCTATCTGTGAGGTGGAAGCCATCTCCTAGTGACAGACTCACCAGCTGCAAACCCTCTCTCGGCTTCTTTATACCCTCTTCCCCCAGAAAAAATGGATTGACGCCCCTCCCCATTGCCGCTCGGCTTGCTCTCCACAGAGCCGGTCTGGGCGGGGCTCGCTCTCCGCCCTTGTTTGGTCTCCTCAGCGCCTCCCACTTGTCAGGTTGGAGCTTCTTAAACATGCTCCCAAAAGTTCTCGTGTGTGGGCTTCCTCTTTCTCGTGTGTGCTGTCAGTGCTTCCCTCGGCTCAGAGTAGCACCTTTTTTCCCCAGCAATTTGGGTGGAGTCAACTGTAGGTGCTGGTTGAGAAAAACAAGTGGGGAGCCACACAACTGACTGAAGAAGCTGCTGATACAAGTAATTAGGACATATATTTATGCAACAATTGACAAAACTGTAGTAGTATGTTGTTCTGACAAATGCTCAGTAAGCATATAAGAAAAATTAATAGTAAAACGTTTTGGTCCACTGCCTTCTTAAATTGTGCCATGAATTGTGCAGTACTTTTCTAAAAACCTTCCAGGAGATCTGTCAGTGTTGTGGGGTACAAGATAAAATCATGATCTGTAAAATTTAGTGTGTGCATAGTTTTATTCTCCCAAGTAGCTTCATTGTAAGTGAAGTTATGCGTACGCTGAATACATACAGACTCAATTGGAGACCACATACATAGAAGAATTAGAATCTTGAATGCATGACACCAGTCAGACATAGTCGTGTTCACAGAAAATGCGGAGAGGGTGGTTTGCAGCACGACACTAAGAGCTGTCCAGCATGTGTTTTGAAGGCCTCCAGAGGGGGAAGCATAAGGAATTCTTTTTGATGGTGTCCTGCTTAATCACGTTCCTTACTGAACCAAGCTCTGTACACAAAATATTTTAGTAAGCCATACAAGCAAAAGCAGGCGGTGTTAATAGAGCCAATTCAGCTAATTTTAAATGCTGAGTAGGAACTCAGAACAAAGGTGTGTGCAGTGTGAAAACCAGCAAGCCTGCTCTTTATGCCAGATTATGTGCAAAGGGGCCTATGCTCTATTTCCTTTCAATTCATGACCATATTTTCTCCTTTCACTGTTTATTTTCTGTTCCTTTGCTCCTGGATGTCTACTTAATATTTCTTTTCATAGCATGTTTTTATATTTATGCAAATGCTTGTATGGAATATGCTTGTATGGAATATGCTTATATGGAATATGCAGGCTTATTAAGTCTTTAGTGTGGGACAGACTAATATCTGACCAGAGAATGTACAGACAAAAGATTATAAGGCGATTTCATTCCAAGAAGGAGAATGTATTTTTAAGCCAATGTCTTATAAACACATTCTCTTGTTTTATTTCTTTCCATCAAAGGTTCTCGTAAACACGAGTGCCTTCAAGTATGTACTCGATTAAATAAAAAACATATTATGTTTAAAATGGCAGATTTGTGTTTCAGAGTTCCAAAGTATAAGTGATAGACTCTCTGCTTAGTTTTAAAAAGTTGTGTTTAGGAAAGAAAAGTATGGAAAAACGCTTATTTGAAATGAGCTCTGTGGTTTATATTCATGTATAGTTGTTCTTTGTAACAGACTTATTTTAACAGCTGGAAAATCTGATTTCTTATGAGAATTAAAACACCTGCAAATCAAGTTTTGAGTGCCAAAGAATTCCAAATAATAGTTGTTAGAATTATTGATTTGAGCTTCTCTTGGCTTTAGTGGAGACAAGGCTAGGCCTTCTTGCTGATTTTTTAGTGACAAATGCATGGAAGAGGTGCTTTGCAATAATCCATGTGTTATTCCAATTTTAAATTTACTTGGATACAGATTTGCATAAATATAATTGCATAAGTAGCAAAGTGACAGTCATTTTTCCTTCCTGCCTTCTGTTTATCACCGTTCCATGATCAGTTTAGGCAGTAAAACAGGGATTCCACCATTTATGAGCTTCATTATATGATTCCTGTCCTTCCTTTTAATAAGAAAAGCATCAGTATGGCAAAGATGATGAGCTTGTTTGTTGTTTTTTTTTTTTCTTGGTGAATTAGCTATCTGGCACTGAATCTTGATTTTATGCATTGCACTGCCATGCAAACGCTTGTGCCAGTGCTAAGAATGGCTGAAATGAGCAGCTGGACAAGGAGGGTGGGCTGTGACCTCTTTTGGTAGCAGTTCCAGCTTGTGTCATCACATTGATTGTGGAAATGCAGGTGATGGTTTAGGGAAAAAAATGAGACAAAGCCACCAGCCTGCTTGGTAACTATCTACCATAATAATTTCTAAAATATGAACAGAATGCTTCTTGTTTCACAAAAATGTGAAACAGAAATGAAGTACTAATTCATGAAACACAGTAGTCTTACGTAAGAATAGTTAATTTGACAGTATTGATGCACACTGCTAATATTCCTGGGTTTCTTTGTAGTTATCTATAAATTAGTTACTAAGTGTAAAACATACATATAACAATAACACACTTGGTGTCCAACATAAAAACTGTGGTTGATGCGCACATCTCAGTCAGTGAATTTTAACTCAACAACTTCTTTGATTTTTAACTGTGGTATATTGTTGTAATACCGAATGTTTTACTTTAAGACACTGATAGTTCAGTTCTTTTTAGCATAATGAAGTGGAGCCCAAAAAACTCTAATACACTTTTTGAAAATTCACAAGATTAGCTTTCTCGGAGCAAACTGCGACATCAAGAACTTAGTTATATATTTTAATAGAAAACATCGCTGAGTGACATTTGCATGCTTTGGAATGCATACCTTTCAATAGCCATGCTCCTAAATAATTTACAGACCTCGAAATTAACAGTAACAAAATGGCAAAAAGGTATTCCATCAAGAATCTAGTTTAAACTGTTAAAAAAAAAGTTTTGAACAGTTTTCTTACCATTCACTAGATGGCAGCTGATCTCCAGGAATGGCTATATTTCTCCTTTCAGATCTGATAATTGGAAGGGAGTAGTCATCAGTTCTTGGAGAAATTGAATATGGTCCAGCATTGTCTTCACTCCATTTCTAATATGAAAATGAAAAACCAGCACAGTGAGTGTTCAGATAATTTTCAGCTTCATTACTGTTTCAGCTTTTTCATGTTGGGTTTGTTGCTGTTTACTTCTGAGGAAGAAAGTTCCTTTCTTCTTTGTTTTCATATTTAGTGGGCCAGATTAACTTCTTTTTAAGGAGAATGTACAATACTCTAGTAATATTCTGAAAAGAATGAATGATATTTCTGTATTCTTTTGTATATAAGTATTAGTTTTTGGTAGAATAAAATAATGTTCAAATTTCCAAAATATTATAACTCATGAAATAAAAATAACTGTGTCTTGTTACAATAATTCCCTGTATGCACAGTAAAGAAGATGTTAAGCTGATTATGTTTTTGGTAAGTTTGACTATATCTAGTATCAGAGCTCCAATTTTTGTTTAAAACTGACAAATTAACAGTGTCTTTAACATAGTCTTTTTTGATGGTAAATGGATTGGAAAATGTGCTGTGATTGTCTATTAATCAAATAAAGATAGCTCAAAGTGAGTAGGTGGAATGTATATCAGGGCAGGATTTTAGTAATTGTCGAGGTTTTGGGACTAAGTATAAATACTGTATTATTCTTATGGTAGATGTTGCACATTTTGAACACCAGGCTCTATTATAACAAAACTTCATAGATAAATTGCAGACGTGCTTAGAAAAGAAGTAGAAAGAGCTTTTGTACGTCTGCATGTATTTATGGGAGGGCCACCCTCAATGTGTTTACTTAATTTTCTAGTGAACGTCCAGTCTTATATCTTTATACGGAAAAAGTTCCCGTTGCAGCTAGTAGGAATTTTGCATGTGCAAGGCATGTGAGGTTGGGCCCTGCGTTGCTCAAAGAACAGTGTGGAAAATCTCTGCTTGCTGCCAGAAAGCTGTGGTGAAGTTACTGCATCTTAGATAAATTTCATGCTGCACCTCTGCTGGAAGTTATTGCCGTCATTGCAGATGCATCAGAAAAAAACGTGTGCCTGCACCTGAAGTGTCCCAATGGAAACTCAGTTGTCTCAGCTTAAGTTGCCAAGGAAGTGATTGTATACTAAGACACTACATTTTCTTGGGAGCGACTTGATGCCAACTGCACGTCGCGTTCTCTTGACACTTCTTTGAGGTGGTAGCCTTTCCAAGAGGGGAAAAACAGACGGCAGCAGATAATGTAGCAAGACATGTTTATGAATTTGTCAATATTGTCTTTAGCATCTTTTGATTACTGCTTAGAGATGTGCTTGGTTGTCTGTTTCAGCGTAATGCATAATCCAGTGGTTCACTAGATCTTATTTTGGATGTGGAATAGTGAGATCCTTGTGCTGTATTCAGTATATGAATGAGGGCAGACTGTGGAGAGTTACAGAAGGACCATACAAGACTGAGGGACTTAGCAGTAAAGTGGCAGATGAAATTCAATATACATAAATGTGAACCGATGCGATGCACAGAGCGAAGACAGATGATGCCATGAAAACGTCGGCTCAGTGCTTGATGTGCAAAAAGCAAATGAAATGTTGGCATTAAGTAAAAAAGGAGCAGAGAACAGAACAAACCCATCTCGTTTTGTGGTTCACCTGTACATTAGATTTTGTGTGTACTTCTGATCTCTCCTGAAAATCTGTATTAGAACCGGGAAAGGTTCAGAGAAAGCAGCA